AGTGTTGGAAAGACCAACAATCAAAAAAGAATAAAATAAAAGTTGCACATAATCCTACCACTCAGAGAATGTCAATGTTAACATTTTGGCACATTTCATTCCAGGATTTTTCATGTTATATAGCTTTTCTTAAAAAGAAATTGAGATCATATTGCATAAGGCATTTTACAAACATTTTACTCCACGATGTTTTATTAACTTTTCCCCAATTACCATACATAATTGACATTTGAACAACTTGGGTTTGAACTGCACCCACTTATCCATAGACTTTCTTCCACCTCCACCATTGCTGAGACAGCAAGACCAACCCCTTGTCTTCCTTCTCCTCCTTAGCCTACTCCACATGAAGATGACAAGGATGAAGACATTTATTATGATCCACTTCTGTTAGGTAGATAGCGAGGGATTCTGGGTCTCGTAGGGACGAAAGTGGGTGCTGTTGCCTTGGTGCAATCACCACACCTGGGAAGAAGGACAAGGGTGGACCCCAAGCCTCCCTTGGTCCTGCCCCACTTTGATCCTGCCCTGAGCTACTGCCTTACCTGGGGAAGGAGGGAAGACCCTATGAATCTGCCAATCATAACTCAGCACCCCAGCTACAAAAGAATGCAGAGGACTCTCTAGCCCACGGGCCAAGCAGCATAGGTACCATAAAGTCCGGAAAGTGACCTAGAACCCACATGTACTGCAGTAAGACTCAGGTCACTTAGTTCCCAACTGTCCAATCAAAGTGGTTCCATGGTGACATTTGAACTACAGGTAGGTCCCTATCTGGACACCGTAAAACAAGACCCAGATCATAACCAAGCTCTCTTTTCCTGCTGTGGCAAGGTGTCTGGTCATCGTCTGTGGAGTATGTATCTTGCTCTGTGAACCTATGTCTTGCTCTTGCTCTATTGTAATCCTGTGTTGCTCCCCATCAATAAACAACACCTCGTGCTTGCCTTACATTGCTGAGTCTGGTCATTCTCCAACCATGGGCATGCTGAGATCTGACATCTCAGACTGAAAACTGACTGAGATAAAATCTTAAGCAAAGATTTAAGATAAAATCTTAAGCAAAGAATAAAATCTTTGCTTTCCAGAGATGTACAAATTTGTAATCCCAAGAGCAATTATGAATGTCCATATCCTCATATGCTCATCCATCCTGGGTATTGTTTATTTCAAATCTTTACACATTTGAATTTTTTAAAAAAATGATCTTGTATTTTTTTTTTTGAGACAGAGTCTCACTTGTTGCCCAGGCTAGAGTGAGTGCCGTGGCGTCAGCCTTGCTTACAGCAACCTCAAACTCCTGGGCTCAAGCAATCCTCCTGCCTCAGCCTCCCAAGTAGCTGGGACTACAGGCATGCGCCACCATTCCCGGCTAATTTTTTTTCTATATATATTAGTTGGCCAATTAATTTCTTTCTATTTTATAGTAGAGACGAGGTCTCGCTCTTGCTCAGGCTGGTTTCGAACTCCTGACCTTAAGCAATCCGCCCGTCTCGGCCTCCCAGAGAGCTAGGATTACAGGCGTGAGCCACCGCGCCCGGCCTGATCTCGTATTTTAATGTACATTTCTTTAAATACCAGTGAGATTGAACACCTCTGTGTACTTCTTTGTTTATTTATTATGTGTCCTTTGTCCCCATTTTTATTTTATTTTAAAATGTTAACATGTACATTAATTTTGTAAATGATCTTTGTATATTAAAGAATATCTATTTTTCAAATATGTTGCAAATATTTTTCCTAGTTATTTAAAGTTGTCTTTCAAGTTAACTTATGCTATTTTTAAAATTTTTGTAGAGGCACAGTCTGTCTACATTGCCCAGGCTGGTCTTAAACTCCTGGTCCCAAGTGATCCTTCTACCTTAGCCTTCCAAAGTGCTGAGATTACTGGCATGAGCCACCGTGCCCGGCCTGCTGTCCAGCATAATAAAGATAATGTCTACCTGTGGGGAGAAGATCGGGCAGGTTTGCTTTATAGCCCCTTATCAGGGATTGGTGGTTCCCCAGCTGTGACACAAACCTACCACGTCATAGGATCCACTTGGGCCTGCCCTGTATTGTACCTGTGGGGCTTAGGGAGCAAAGGAAACAAGTGTGAAGATGAAGCTCATGCTACCTGCTGTGCCTTGAGTAACAAAGTCCTTTGTTTCTGACCCAGGGTCTCAGTCTTCTGCCAGCATCCATGAAACTGCTGCAGCCTCACTTGTTAGCTTGTGGGTGGGTAAAATCTCAGGCCTTTCCCAGCTCTTGACACCAGTGGTCTGTCCTTTCAGCTTAGTAAGTGGACAGTGACGCGATGGTACTCAGGCTGGTCCAGGAGCTGTAGGAGAGACAAGGTGGGGCACTGGGTCCCTGCAGGTCTGTGCAAGATAGCAAATAAGGAAGCTGAGGTTTGTCTGGGGCTAGGAGTCCCAACAACTTCCTGATGAATAAGCTTCAGTGAAATGCTGAGGGGTTGTGAGAACTACAACTGACTGCAAATCTCCTCCTTCCAGCAAAAGAAGGAAGCCCAGGGGCAACTGTGAGGAATGGCTTCTTCCCAGCAAGCAGGTGTGGGCCTTCAGGGGGCCTGGCCAGAGCTCCCTGAGGGGGTAGGAGGTCGCATAGCAGCAAGGCAGTGAGGAAGGGCAATGGGAGAGTTGCTCCCTACCATGCAGGCCCTGGGCTGCTCCCCTGGCCCCTCAGGCTCTTCTTGGCCACTTTCCTCCTTTCTGAGGTGCCCAGCAGCACCTGGATCCAGGCAGGTACCCAGAGGATTTCACCGACACAAGAGGGAACTTTGGTGAGTCAGCCACGTTTCTCACAGTGCCACGCAGGCCTGAAGCATGAACAGCAAACACCCTCCACTGCTTCATTTATTCTCATTAACACTCCTGCCACCCCCTTGCCTGGGCTGGGTTCACACCTGCTAGACTCCTGATCCTTCCCAGTCAGGACGACAGGTTTCCCATGTCCCTGAGGACTCTGCACTTTCTGTAATTCCTTATTTCAAGGTCAGGTCCGTATTCCTGAATCAAACCTGCAAATTTGCTCAGTGTTAGGTCTGGAGCAGAGACACACACAAAACTTCATGTGTAGCAAAATGCTGTTTATTTTGAGCATCTGCGTGCAGATGGGTGGAGCCAAAGAGTGTCCACAGCGAGGTAGGGGAGAGCCTTGGGTTTTATAGAGGGTTTGGGGAGGGACGCGGGAGCGGGGTGAGGGGGCTGGGGGTGGGCTGGGGGGTGGGGATAAGTACCTGGCCCAGAACAGCTGTTGTAATAAAGTTTACTTTTAAACAACCAGCTCCTAGGACCCCAGCCCAGTCACATGCATCCTGCAACTCCTGTGTTATCCTTATCAGGAGAGAGAGGTGCAAGGCTGTTGGCGGGCCCTTCTCCCTAGATCAAAAAAGAAAAGGCTCATGAGACCAGACCTGCCAAGGAGGACTGCCTTGCTGAAAACTACCACACCCCATAAGATAGTTTTGGCTCCTGGATTCCCCAAATACCGCCATCCCCTCCTATTTCTCAAAGACCACTAAAGGTCGCCCCAGCTCTTCCCGCCAAAAGTCCCTAGCTCACCCCAAATGGCATAAAAGGCCTCACCCTCTTCAAATGGAGGCGACTCCTTGGGGCCCATCTCTCTTGGGGCCCCAGAACCTCATCCAGGAGTACATAATAAATCCACGTGGTTTGGCCCCACTCTTTCTCTCTCTCTGTCTGTCTTTTCTTTTTGCCACCGCTGCAAAACCTTACAAGAGGGTCTTCCTTATGGGAGGAAAAGGAATGGTGGCTGCAGCTGTCTGTTAGATTTACAATGTCCCGGACTCTCCAGACTCTGGCGGCTATTTGTTTTACAAGCCTAAGTTTTCCATTAACTGCTGTCCTATACATACTTTATGGGTTCCCACCTGGAACAAACCTAACACTCAGCACTCCCACCTTGACCTCCCCATTTCCTCCCTGCCTTCCTCACCCTCTGTATTTACCTGATGAAAGACTATCGTTTAGGTCTTGCGATGGATAAGAGAAGTTATTAGTTTTTATTTTTAATGCATTGATCATTTATACAGAAACACAGACTCACAGATATGAACAAAAACACAAGTTTGAGCCAGGTGCAGTGGCTCACGCCTGTAATTCCAGTACTCTGGGCGGTTGAGGTGGGAGAATGGCTTGAGGTCAGCAGTTTGAGACCAGCCTGAGCAAGAGCAAAACCTCCTCTCTACTAAAAATAGAAAAAACTAATTGGGCGTGATGACAGGTGCCTGTAGTCCCAGCTACTCAGGAGGCTGAGGCAGGAGGATCACCCGATCCCAGGAGTTTAAGGTTGCAGTGAGCTGTGATGACACCACTGCACTCTGCCCAGGGCAACAGAGTGAGACAGACAAACAAAAAACACAAGTTATTTTCAATTTTGCCTCTCATTCTTGTCAAGGGAGAGGCTGAAACCAAACAGCAAGAGTTTGGGTTTCATGTTCTTAATACTTTAAGCAAAGTATCATGATCTTTACTCATGGCATGGGGGCTGGGGTGGGGTGTGTTTCCGAAACCAGGGCCCTCGGGGAGCCAGGTCCTTGTAGGCCGAATGCCAACATCCTATTTCTTCGGAAAGTCACCTTCAGGCCCTGCTGCTGGGAGGCTCAGTTGGGTGTGGGCCTGCCTTTTGGCAGAGGGGCCAAACTAACTGAGGGTAGTGGCATAATTGTCTCAGGGTGGCCAGGGGTTTGGGGTTTGGCTACCCAGCCATGTTAAAGGGGATCAGACATTCAGGGACTACCCAGGGAACAATAATAATTATATAATATGTAATATACACTTTATATAACAGATCCTGATATATTATTAGTTAAGATATATTAATTGTTATAACATAGATATTGGAGCCTACATTTGAACTCCCCTTGCCACCCCATAGAGTCAGGTTGCATTTAGGGTCTTCAGGCTTTAACTACTCTGTAAGATGGTCTAGTGTCAGAATTTTTTAAAATTTATCAAATTAAAATTGTTCTTCCAATACCCAACCCTTCCATGTCCTTGTAGGTTATGCTTTGTAGGAGGTTGATTCAGTCCTATTGCTTTTGATTCTCAAAACCTCATTCTTTCAAACAGGCCTTTCTCCCTATCTCTAAACCACATTCATCGAAAAACTTTCCAACTTACAGAATTGCATTAAACAACTTCTTACCTGCATAAGAAACACCAACTCACCTGCTCCAGCCAGGATGACCCTCCTCTATTCGTGAGTACCCTGGTGGGGACATTAGTCTCTTGAGCCCTGTGGCCAGGCCTACCCCCTTCACCCCCTTTCCCTTCCAGAGCTATTCACTCAGCGAGAGCTGGACACTATCACCCTGTGAACTAAAATAAAATCCTAAGCCTCGTCCCCAGCTGACTGAATGGACCTCCTCTTGGCCAAGGGGACCCCAGAAATATCCTAAAGCTGAGTTGCTGGCCATGAGAAGGGAGGTCAGACATGCCTCATCATGCCCCCTTCCCTTCTTGGAGAAATCCTTTGTAACTCATTAGCAGGCCTAAGGCTATGCAAACAAAGAGTAAGCCACACCTGCAGGTCACCAATTTACTTAACAGATCACTTGAGTCTGGGTATATGTGCAGTATCTGTCCAGTGGTTTATCTCTGATTAGCAACCTTCCTTATCTTAGTTTAAAACATTCCAAGCCTTTAGACAAAGCTTCATTTCCTTAACCAATTATAAATCAAGGAATCTTGAAACCTACCTATAATCTATAATCCCCTGCTTCGAGATGTCCTGCTTTTTTGGTCCAAACCAATGTATGCCTTCCATGTATTGATGTATGACTTTATGTGTAATTCCTGTTTCCCTGAAATGTGTAAAACCAAACTGTAACCCAACCACAGCGAGACCACTTGCTCGAGGCTTCTTGGGTGTGGCTCTCCTGGGCCATGGTCACATATATTCGGCTCAGAATAAACTTCATTAAATTATTTTACAGAGTTTGGGTTCTTTTCTGTTGACACCCGTCATGTCCATGAGCATCATGTCCCCTTCACCCAGAACAACCCCAGACTCTCCTTCCAAGTAACTTTGTCTCTCTTTCCATACTCACCTTCCCTGGGGGAAGGGGGGCACTAGCATGTGTCGAGAGCCTACTATGTGCTGAGCTAACAGGAACGACTACTACTGTTCCCACTGCGCAGAGGTGGAGACTGAGGCTCAGCTAGGAGGCCGCTTGCCCACAGTGACTCCAAGGCTCTTGCTCTTTCCCCCAGCACCCACCCTGCTTTCTAGGGCTCATAGCAGCCCCTTTCACATCCTCCTGCTCCAGAAGAACCAAGAGAACCGGGCTGATGGCTGCTCCCCCAGGCCCGCCTCCTGCGCCTTCCCAGATCCCGGGCAGTGTATTTAGTACCTGGCTCCACGTAGCTAAAGCCATCTCTAGACCTCGGAAGCTGAGCTTTCATTTCAGTGAAAACCTTGGCGCAGTTGTATTAGTCATAATCCTCTTGCCCCGTCCTCCAGCTCCAGGGAGTGAGAATGGGAACTGGGGGCTGAGAGAGAACATTCCAGATGCACCTGAGGAAGCTATACCAAGGGGGTGGGGCATGGTGAGAAGTCACTATTTCCAATAAAGGGATAGTCTGGCATTGTGTAGGCTAAAAAGAAAGTGTCTTATTTTATTATCACACACAATGCTGCTAAAAAAGAAAAAAAGAAAAAAAAAAAAAAAAAGAAAGTGTCTAGGTCTAGTTCCAGCCCACCTGGAGAGCAGGTGGGGGTCAGTCCAAGGGTGTGGGGAGACGTGCCTGGCTGCGGAATGCTTGAGGACAGGGTGGGGTGCATTTATTTTTAAATATACTATCCCGTTTCTCTCCCCTCTCCCATCCTAACCCTCACCTCTGGGCTCAAGAGGAAACCAGGACATGTGATACCTTCACTCAACTGTAGGAAGTCCACCTTTGAAATCCCCAGGGGCAGATGTAGCCAGCGCCACCTGGGCCCTGCTCTTCTGCTTTCCCCGCTTGTCCTCAGCCCCCAGGGCAGCAGAAGGGGTGGTTTCAGCATGGACCTGATGGGGCATTGCTGGGAGGTCCTGGGGCCGCTGTCTGCCCAGCTCCATGCTCCGGGAAGTTAGATCAAGGGATCAGTCCAGCTGGTTCCCTTTGTCACCCAGCCTGGCTCGTGATGCAGGGGTGATGAGGGCAGCTATTTGGGGAGCCAGACCTGAGTGAAGTGGGCTCACCTGCTGGTCTTCCCCCATAGGTCATTATTCAGCAAGAATCACTCTCACCCCTTTTCTCTTTCAAATGCCTTTTGGATCACTTCCTCTAGAATATTCTCCTGGGCTAAGTGTCAAGATTCAGGCATTGAAATGAGAGGCCTGGCAGTTGGTCATGGATCATGGCTGGGAGCTTACCCAGGAAAGATACTGGAGAGAGGAGGGACGGGGACACCACCTGTTTCCTAATCCATCTGCAGAAGCCTTAATCCACCCATTACTCTGAAGCCACGAGAGTAATTATCTCATTTTGCTGAGTTCTGCCCCTCTACCATAAAACTTTCTTTCTTTCTTTCTTTTTTTTGAGACAGGGTCTTGCTGTGTTGCCCAGGCTAGAGTGCCGTGGCGTTAGCTTAGCTCACAGCAACCTCAAACTCCTGGGTTCAAGCAATCCTTCTGCCTCAGCCTCCCGAGTAGCTGGGACTAGAGGCATGCACCACCGTGCCCAGCTAATTTTTTCTATAGATTTTTAGTTGTCCAGCTAATTTCTTTCTATTTTTAGTAGAGACAGGGTCTCACTCTTGCTCAGGCTGGTCTTGAACTCCTGACCTCAAGCTATCCTCCCAGCGTGGCCTCCCAGAGTGCTAGGATTATAATTGTGAGCTACTATACCAGGCCCTACAATTAGATTTTCTTTTTTTTTTTTGAGACAGAGTCTCACTCTGTTGCCCAGGCTAGAGTGCCGTGGCATCAGCCTAGCTCACAGCAACCTCAAACTCCTGGGCTCAAGCAATCCTCCTGCCTCAGTCTCCCAAGTAGCTGGGACTACAGGCATATGCTACCATGCCTGGCTAATTTTATATATATATATATATATTTAGTTGGTCAATTAATTTGTTTCTATTTTTAGTAGAGACGGGGTTTCACTCTTTCTCAGGCTGGTCTCAAACTCCTGAGCTCAAAGGATCTGCCCGCCTTGGCCTCCCAGAGTGCTATGATTACAAAGATGAGACACCGCGCCCAGCCAGTAAACTTTATTTCAAAGACAACTTTTGGCTTGGGTAGCGTGGGTAGCGCTCTCTGTCAGAACCGTGTATTGAGGCCAGGTATAGTAGCTCATATCTGTAATCCCGGCACTTTGGGAGGCCAAGGTGGGAGGATCACTTGAGCCCAGAAGTTTGAGATTGCAGTGAGCTATGATGACACCACTGCACTCTAGCCTGGGCAACAAAGTGAGACCCTGTCTCAGAAAAAAAAAGAAGAAGAAGAAGAAGAAAAAGAAGTATCTCTTTGTCAGTCCACACTGTCTGCTAAGGCAGTCCATGATCACTCAATCCCATTGCTATCACACTTACCAAGTATTCCCTCTGGCAGAGGCTCAGACCAGAGTGTGCAAAGACAATTTAATAAACATGGGAGGCAGGCAGCAAAGTAAAAAAGAGCCCCAGAAACCTGGATCCCAGGATGGGGTTTGCCACTTACCAGCTGCAAGAAGTAGGACATCCCTTGTCCATCGGCCTGCAGCTCCTCCTTATAGGATGAGGGGTTTGGACTCCCTGACTGCCAAGGTCTCTTCCAGTTCTAAAATTATGTTGAGATTCTTTATATTCTTTCAGGTTTTACAAAAGGAAGCCCAGGGGTGGGACACAGGTGGCAAATCTGGGCATATGCACACTGGGTTTCTGACTTCGTGCTGTCGCTGACTTCCACGGGCCTTGGTTTTCTTCTCTTCAGGCTGAGGGAATGGAGTGACTTCAGATCCCTGGGCCTCAAGCCAAAGCTGCCCCTCCTTGCTCTCCTGCACACCCAGGATGGCCCCTGCTCCATGGAGCGCCATGCCTGGAAGACAGTGGGTGGGTAGGCATTGTGCCCTTTCTGCATAAATGAGGTAAAATGAGAAGGGGAATGAGCTAATTGGCGTGAAAATACCCAGCACTTTTAGAGAAAGGGGCTGAGAAACCCAATCCTAGGAGAATGACAATGGCCTTTGTGTGGCCTGAACACCAGGGCCCCTGCTTTCACCATGGCCTAGGGGCCAAGGCCTCAGGAGTGGCGCTTCCCTTTGTCACCTTAGCCCCCTCCTTGGCAGTGCCACCAACACCAACACTCAACGCATGTTGCCAAGGACCCAGCCATAGAGCCACCCATCAAACCCCTTGGTCTTTGTCTTTTGCAGTGTCAGCATCTTGTCTTCACAAGCAGGTCTCATGCTCCTGGTGGACAGCAGCTACGCATCACAGGCGCCAGCCCACCAGGCCCATATGCCTCCTTACTGAACTGTGGAGTATGGAGTGATGGAGTTAGAAATGCAAACGTTTACTGGGGAGTAACACCTGCATAAGAAAGGGGAAGTGGCAGGATTGGGCAGGAGGACATGGCAGAGCTGACAAAGGCACAGAGTCTCTGCCCTGTGGGGTGCTCTCAGGCACAGATTGCCTGTAAGGGGAGTCCCACGAGGTGGAAATGGCCAGGTCCTGTGCTGCCTGCCGCCTTGCTCAGCCATTGGCAAAAGGGTCGTCCAAAGAGGAGCATGATCTTAGCTTAAAAGCTGAGGCCCACCCTGAAGGAGCCAACAGTTGGAAGCTGTCAACCAGCCATGCTTCTTGCAGCTGGACAGTGGGTCCTTTTTTAAAGGCCATCTCTGGTCTCTGCCATGGGGAAGTACCATGGAGTTGAGCACTCAGCCTAGGTAAATTCTGTCCTCCCTTCCCCCCAGCTTTTTTTTTTTTTTTTTTGCTTTAGAGCCAGGCAGACCTGGACTCACATTCCAGTTTTGTGACTTAGTGTGTGACCCGGGAAAAATGTGACCAGGGAGTTAGCATTCTCTGGTTTCACTTGATCATTCAACCTGGCCCATGACTCAGTGATAATGGGAATCATGTTTATCTCCTGGAACCTCAGTGTTCTCACTTGTGAGATGGAAATAGTGATATGCACCTCCCAAGTTTATGGGGACATACACAGGGCCTGGCACTCTAGTTCCACGTCTTTTTATTCAAGACTTCATAAATCAGACTTAATAAACTTCCAACTTCCTGTCTTGTCTCAGTCTGATCAGAATTAACTTTATTAGCAGCATGAAGTTCTATGAAGGCATAAATGACAGGGAGGTAAGCAATTTTAGGGAACCCCCCAAAATTAGAGACTCCTACTTTGGGCAGCTTAGAAGAGAAATCTCCCTTGAAGATCCCATCAGTGCTACCCAGAACCCAGCTATCTGCCCAAGTGAGTCTTCCTTCCATGTGAAAAGCTCATAATCTTATCCTTGCTCCAACTTTCTTACACCCCAAGTCTTTTTGCCCCCCATGGAATATCAACTTAAACCTGACTTCAAGACTGGGTGTGGTGGCTCATGCCTGTAGTCCCTGCTACTGGAGAGGCTGAGGCAGGAGGATCACTTGAGCCCAGGAGTTTGAGGCTGCAGTGAGCTATGATGACACCACTGCACTCTACCCAGGGTGACGGAGTGAGACCCTGTCTCAGGAAAAAACAAAAACACCTGACTTCAGATTCATGCCCCTGGGAATATTGTGCAGTCTGCAGGCCCAGGAGGTCTCCACCAGACAGAACTCATAGGACCCACTCATTTCCTCCCCTTTCCTCTCTACTCTGTTTCCACCAGATGCCTTGGGAGGGGAGAAGGAGGGACACATGGGCATCCTGTGATCTGCCCCAGATAAAGGGAGGGGCTTTTGTCACGGAGACCTAGAAGTGACCTAACCCTGGAAAGTGGGCAAGCTGAGAGGATCTGGGCACCAAGGGAAAACAAAAGAGAACCAGAGCTGGGCAGGGAGAAGATGGATACAAATTGCACACGCCTCATTACCCGAGGTCTCAGGTGCCTAGTCAAAATGTAAAGCTCAAAGGGGATGTAGGAAGGACCTTTGTAGGTAGATGGGCCTGGAAATTCATGTCCCTACTGCTCTTCCCCTGGCTGGCCTCACGTGAATCTACCTTCAGAGAGGATGCCAGGGTGCAGCGAGGAGCCAGCTGCCGTCCACCGTGTCCGTGCGTCTGGAAAGCCCTTTAACATCTACCAGCTCATTCAGCTTCGCAACCTTTTGGGTAGGCGTAGTATCGCATTTCACAGATGGATGAGGGAAACAAGACACAAAGAGGCCAGGACTTGCCTCAAGGGCAGAGCTAAGATCCAGCCCAGGTGTCCCAATGCCCACCTGGAGTCTTGGCCACCACAGCAGCCTCCAGAAGACGCCGCACCTCTGGCCTTCTTGCGTTGGAAGGTGGGAGGTTATCTGTGCTAGGTCAGCACGACGTCCAGCTCCTCCTCCGCTCTAACCTGACATGCTTTCACAGATGGGAACCTGCAGTCCAGAGAGCATCACCAAACAGGACGTACAGAAAGGTGACAGGAAGAAACCATGAACAAGAGCTGACAGAGAAAAATGATCAAGAAAACCGAGCTGGGCCTGGGTGTCGATGCAAATTCTCTCAGTGGTGTCCTCCTGCTACCCTGTCCAGGTGCTCCATGCCCCACATCCCTCACTACCTTTAGGAGTTTCTTACTCCCAGGAAAGAACGGGGTCAACTTGTCCCTACAGAAGTGGAGGGACCATTGGATACCACACCGCTTCTCTGTAGTACTTGCATCATAGCAGCACGGTCCAGCTTTTGTGCTAGGGCCAAAACTGGACTTTTAGCTTCGGAAAGCAAGTGTCAACAGGGCCTCAGTGGCCCTCTGAGATGGCACCACAGTGCAGCTGTCTACTCCTTGGGCAAGGCTGGCTCTGCCTGGGATTGTGGAAATGCCCGGTCCTCATCCTGGGCTGCACAGCGTCAGAGAGCCTGGCCCCCTGCTCTGGGACCAGTCACTCTGCAGATACCCCACACGCAGGAACCAAATCTTGAGGAGCCAGAAGCAGGGGTTCACATCTGGCAGGCGGTGGGGATTTCTGTTATTTCCTTTGCAGAGCTATGCCAACTACCCTCCCTCACCTGTAGGATCCTGCTCCGTGCACCCTGTGTGGAGTCCCTGTCCCTTCTTGCTTGTGCCTGTGAGTCCCAAGAAGTCAACATGGGGTGACCTGAGCCCCAAAGTCTCCAGGAGCACCCCCACATCCTCCTAGGGTTCTGTTACTCACTTCTACCTACGTTCTGCCCTCACCCCCTGCCCAGGCCAGATCCCTCACGCTGCTTGCCCAGATTGTCGGGGTCTCTGGCCCCTGGCACTGTGTTCCATGTTCTGGAAAGAAGAAATCTGCCATCTGGTGAGGGTCCACCATGTGCCTGGCACTGAGCAGAGGTTCTAAGCCCACCACCCCTTTCTAGAAGATGGTACACAAGGTATTTCTATTCCTACCCTCACCCTACATTGTCCCCCACTCCCTGTGTTCCTTAGGGTCTCCTTATTCCCTCTGCCCTATTCATAAGCCCCAGACTCACTCCTTCTGGGCCCCTTTCTTCCCCATTCTCCCCAGCAGGGCAGCCCCTGGGGAGGGAGGACAAGGCCCAGGAGCCTGGGGGTGGGGCAGCCTGCACATTGCCCCACACCCCTCCCCATCCCCCTCAGCTGGGAGGGGGACAGGAGCAGAGCAATGGGTGTACTGGTATTTTGGTCTTTCCTGGTGGGGGAAGGGGGTGGAGACTGAGGAAAGAAAAGCCAGGGCAGGGATGACTGGCGTGGGGCCCCGCCTTCTTTTGTCCTCCTCCCTTGGTCCTCCGGCCCCTTCAGGGAAATACACCTGCTTCAGGCCAGCAGCCGGTGGCACAGGCTTCCGCTCACCTCTGCGCCCCACACCACTGCTTCTGTGCTGCGGAGCGTCCCCAGGGGAGCTGGACGGACCCTTGCTGGAGCCATGAGGGGCGTCCCCTGGGTGCTCCTGAGCTGCTTATGTTGTTGCCTCCTTCGGCCAGCGGTCCCAGGTAAGAGATGTTGCTGGGGCAGCGTTCTAGGGGTAGGGGAGGCTGGCTTCGGGGAGCCCGTCAGAGACAGATGGAGAGAGAGAGATGTGCGAATGGGCAGAGACGGGACAGGATGGGGGAGAGAGAGGGAGAATGCTAGAAAGATGGAGAAAAAAGGACACAGAAAGATGTCTAGCAGGGCAAGGGTGGCCTGGTGTGGGAGAATCCATGGGTCAGCCAGAGCTTATGTTGTGGAGAGAAAGAGGCAGGCAGGATTGCAGCGAGAGGGAGAGAGGGCAAGTGGAGGACAGAGACTGTGACGGAGAAAAGCGGGCTGGGTGAGGGAATGGAAGGAAAACTCATATAAAGATGTAGAGTCGGAGGACAAGGCAGGCAAGAAGCAGACAAATCAAAGCCAACACACAGAGAGGAGAACATCAGGGACAACAGCACAGAAAAGGAGGGACAGAGGAAGCAGGGGCAGCTGGCCCAGGGAGTGGTGCAGAGAGACCGGGCGGCCACGAGACACTGGCAGGGGCTCCTGGCCTTGAACTTGAGTCTAAAGCCTCCTCTCAGGTGGGAGCCTGCAGGCAGGGCTGCTGGCCCTGTGTTGGCCTCAGCCTCCTCTACACTCGCTCCCCACAGAGCTGGGGCTGAGGGGACAAAAAGCCTATGGGAGATGTCCCCTCTGGGGTCCCCTG